CAACTCAGACAGGAAAGCTGGTGGAATGGACAGCGAACACCAGTCTTTCCCAAGGGAGGAGGACTCAGCAGTGCCCACAGTGTACATGGGATGGAGGGTGGAAAGTGTTAGCTCACAGCACCGTCTCCATGCTGGCTTCTACACTAGGTCCATTTGAGGCCATCTGATACTCAGGAGACATGCTTTTCTAAATGGTTTTCCTTTGAATCTAAAAATCCATCTATCTGGGGATAACGACTTCAGTTTTAGGACATTTCACTAACTATTTAAGAAATCTTGGACCACTCTGGTGCATATTTACAACTTTGTGTATCTGCAAAAAACCCAGAGCATTGACATGCCTTTCCCTAAAATCTGTATCTATGCCGTGCCTTCATAAACATCTAACTCCTATGAGAGCTGCTAGCTTTCATTTAACTCATTCAGTGTATCTTTTCAACCAAATGTAAATCTGCAATGAATTCTAATGCAATCCAATTAGAGTTAGTAGCACCATCTGTATACATACATACATATATATATTCAGTTCAGCTGTCAAAAAAAAAAAAAAAACCTAACACATACATACTCCAATAATACAATGTTCAATAGTTATATTTCATTGTCTCAAACTTCATTCATCCTTTTCCATATGTTTGTTTGTTTTGAGACAAGACCTCATGAAGCTAGAGATGGATATGAACTCCTGATCCTCCTGTGTCTCCCCTGGGGTTTCAGGCATAAGCCACCACACACAGATCATAAAGGTTTAAATGTGGCAATTTTAACTTTCTTTCTTCTACAGTTAATATTTTAGTATATATTTTGGTATGTTTTGCCCACGTCTCTGAAAGTTTTCTTATGACAGATTACTAGAAGTGAAATTAAATTATAGATTTAGCCAGGCACACACCTGTAATCCCAGCACTCAGGGAGGTAGAGGCAGGGGACCTCTGTGAGTTCAAGGCCAGCCTGGTCGACAGGGTCCAGGAAAGGTTACTCAGAGAAACCCTATCTAAAAAAGCAAAACAATAAATAAATAAATACAAGTAAATTAGAGTTTTAAAATAAAACCAAATAGAACAGTATTTAAATCATACAATATAAAACTTCTAAAAAATAAAAATAAAAAAAGACCCAGCACCTGCAGACTCTATGTCCTTCTCTTTAGTCTTTTCTTCTGTTTTCAGGTATTTCTCTTTCCCGGTTTTAAAATTTCAGATATTATCCACTGATGAACGAAAGAAATACTTAAATCTCTTAAATGTTCAAACCCTTTCCCCATCTTCCTCCTACTTTTTTGGTTAGTCCATAGTCTGAATGGTGCCAGTTGATGACAAGAAAGTTCAATCTCTGTATGACCTAAGCCTGCAGCAAGCCCCACAACTCTCAATGCCCCTCGGTGCGTGGGAAGGCCATGTGTGTTTTCCTTGCTTCCCAGGGACCTGCTGCAGGATTCGCCAGCCCTCTAGCTGCCAGTAAGGACAACGGGATTGAGGTGGCTCAAGGGCACTGCGAAGGCCGGTAAATGGCAAGGTAGTCTCGATACAGGGAAGGTAGCACAGCATTACGCAGTGCAGGGTAAGAAGGCAACCACACAACCGTCCTGTGTGCTTTCACCGGAGCAAGGTGCTTATCGCTAGGCTAACCCTGGGCAGAGCCCGGGGAAAACTCCCCAACACAAGGCCGAGTCTTCCAAGTTAGAAGAGAAAGGCAAACATAAGGAAGAGGCAAGTGCGAGGAAGGGCAAATGGGGGTGGGACCAGAGCGCAGAGCGGGCTGACCGTAGATGCCCACCTGGTGTGAGCTCAGCTAGGATGCTTTTCATTTCCCTCTAATCGGGGTTCAATGCATCTACTTTTACAATTTTGCTTAATAATTTTTTTAATAAAAATTGGAAATGTTTCCTAACTCTAAATGGTATTTGCATCATTTCATACACAAAATCCGTTTCTTATAAAATATTCAGGACTTAGATTTTTATGCTATATAAATATTAGTCTCTAAGCCATATGGAACATTGTGATTACATTTTCTTATGCATTTTTAATTTTTCTCTACAGCCAGGCTAATAATTGCTTCTCTTTATTATTTTTAAGTTCTGGAGATTGAACCTAGGGTCTTGTGCATGCTAGACAGCACTTTAAAGCTGAGCTTACCGCTAACATTCCTCATCTTTACTTTTTATTTTGAGACAGAGCCTTACTACATTGCTCAGGTTGGCCTTGAATTTATGCTGTAGCTCAGGCAGGCCTCGAACTTGGGATGTGCCTGTGTCAACCTCCTGAGAAACTAGGATTCCGGGCCTGCCGAATGTTGCCACAAGTGTTTGATAGGAACTGAACTGGGGTCCTCTGCAATAGCAGCCAGTGCTCTTAAGCAATGGGCCATCTTTCTAACCCTCACATTTTATTTTTTTTATTTTTTTCAGATAGGGTCTCCTGTAGGGCAGGCTGACCTCAAATTGGATAATTTAGCTGAGGATGACCTTGAACTCCTAAACCTTCTGCTCTCCCTGAAAGTGCTAGAACTATTCTTAACACTGTCGAGCAGATGAAGTCAGTTCTAGTTATCAGTTATCAGTTATCTAGTTATCAGTTCTAGTTTTACTCTTAGAGATACTTCTCCTGGGGCAGGGTAGACAGCTCAGCGGGTATGATGAGCTTGGATCCCCAGAACCCACGTACAAGCTAGTGGCAGTTAGAGAATCTGTCCTCCCAGTGCTCCTGCGGAGAGACGGGAGGCAGAGACAGGAAAAACTCTGGAAGCTCCTGGGCGATGACAAACTGGAAGCAAGGACTGACATCTGAGGTTGACCTCTGACCCCTACACATGGGCTGTGCCACGTGTGCAATGTCACTGACATACACCAACGCTCTCACACATAACACACGCACGCACGCGCACGCGCACACACACACACACACACACACACACACACACACACACACACACTTTAAGATTTCTCCTAAAGCTCTTTGTCCTCTTGTCTCCGTGAGGCCCGCCTACATAGTCATCAGCCCAGGGCTTGTTTGGGTCACATTTAGTGATTCACACTGATCCTGTGGTTGACCCGCTTGGGTTTCAACCTGGATATACTGGGTGGTAGTTCACAAATTACTTAATCTCTCTGTGCCTCAGCCTCCTAATTGGTACATGCTGCTATTGTTGTTACCTTTGTTCTTGTCTGTGCCTAATCATTACTTTTCTAGACTGTATTTTTTGTATTAACGCTGGGGATGAACTCAGGTCTTTGCACATACCACTGAGCCATATCTTTAGCCCCATCTCCATCTCAGGAACAAAGACAGGGAAAGTACGTTTCCTAAGACCCCATAGATCTTGAACTCACAATGTTCCTTCTCAGCCTCGCAACTACAGGGAACATAGATACGTATCTCCAGGCCCAGCTTCTTAGTTGGCCATTGCAAGCTTGTTTTGTTTTAATCCATTTTCATTTTATACAGGAGCGCTGTGCTTGCATGTATGTCTGTGCATTACATGTGTTCCTGATGACCCCAGAGGCCAGAAGAGGGTATCAGATCCCCAGGAACTAGAGTTACAGAGGGTCGTGAGCCACCATGTGGGTGCTGGCAACTGAACCTGGGTCCTCTGCAAGAGCAGCCAGTGCTTTTAACCTCCTCTCCAACCTTCTTCATGTTAAATAAACCTGTAATAATTTTCTGTTTTATACCTGATTTCTGAGGTTGTCTTCATATGCCATCTTGTCTAGTTTCTTAGGTTTAATACTGTACTAAGGGTACTATCGAAGCATGTCTAAAAATGTCTGTTTTTCTTTTCTTTGCATTGTCTGTTTCCTCTAAGTTCGCTTTTGTCAGTCAGTTTGGTTTAGACAAGTCTTTCTCATGGTGGAGTATTTTCCCAAGGCCCTGTGGTCCTCTGTTCCATATTCTTCTCCAGGGTGAGGGAGGCAGAGAGCCCGTTGTGGGGGACACTGAGACTGGTCATTGTGGATGACTGTTCATGGATACGGAATGTGTACTGAGGGGTCCCCAAACTGCCACCTCTGCCAGTCTTTTCTGTGGGGCTCGACAGCTTCCTAAGAAGGAACTCTTGCAGTTTTCTCCTTGGTGAGTATGAGGGACTTTAAGCTGGCTGTGAGCGCCCTGAGAGTCAGCCCAGGAGGGGGGTCAGGAGACGGGAATTTATCTTTCAGAATGCAGGTCCTCACTTAGGCACTCTGCTGTTGGCTGCTACCCTATGTTCCCACCCTTGGCTGTGCCTGGAACCATTCCTACATCTACAGAGTCAGTATAATAACACCAATCACAACCATGAAGTTAAGTAAGTCTCACAAGACTCTGTATAAAAAGGTAGGAAGTTTTTGTATAAGATTTTCTGTACTAAGAGAAACCAAATAGTTCCCTCCAACCTGCCCAGGTCCCCCAAAAGTTAGGAAATTTACCCCATTCATGCCCTTTTATTCTTCCCACTTCACCATGCTCCTCGACTCTTCTGGCTTTGATAATGTCTCAGAGTGGGTGTTCAAGGTCCAAGTTTGTTTTAAAATAACCCAATGAGCTGACAGACGGAGCTCATGTTATTCTGCAGCTTGCACTGGAGTCCACAGATGGGAAATTGCTGTCAGTTAAAGGGTGGTGCTATTACCATGCCCAATTTCTGAAAGCCGTTAAAAAAAAAAATCCCAAAAGTTAATTAGCATTCTCAACAGGCACTAGTGCTGTGCTGCCGTAGTCTATATAAGAAAACACAACAGGGTGGCCTCTAGTTTATAACTAATACTTTACCTTTTTTTAATGTACAGTTTTTATTTATTTTTTTAATTTTTTATTAATTTGTTTTTAAATTTATTACAATTTATTCACTTTGTATCCCAGGCAGTATTTTACCTCTTAAACATGTAGGTTATAAAGAATCTTGCCTGTAAAGAAAATAGCCTTTCTTTATGGCTAATCTATATCCTTAAACTATCATGAAGTAGGACTTGTGTTCTAGGATCAATTACAATGGTATCAAAAATAGGAGTGATTTAAACTTACCTCTCCAACCTGCTTAATCCACAAATCCCTTCCAAGAAACTCCCGATGCAAGACTACAGGTGCTGAGTTTAGGTTAAAAGTCTTATAGTCGCTACTCTTGTCTTTAATAAAGGGCTGGAGGTCAGAGTTTATCTAGAAGGGACAGATAGAGGAGCTATGAGCACAATGCATAAATTCAGGAAGTACCAATTACATAGTGTTTGGTGCTCTTTAATAGGATTTAATAAGCACATGCACATTCTGGATGATTTAGCAACAATGTTTAAAATCCTTCAGTTTCAGTTTCATAAGGCGTTTGCCTCTGGTGACAACTCTGGGACCTTGTGTGTGTAAGCAGTTAGTCTGGCTTCCAGCTGCATCCTCAGCCCCTTCTCCTTGAACTTTAAGTTCAATGTAGAGACTTAATTAAATAAAGACAAAGTACATACAACTAGTTTACAAAAAAAAAAAAAAAAAACAAACCAACTTTTAATAAAGTATGAAAAATCTTCATCTGGAAATTACACACACAGACACATAGATACACATACATATAAACACATACACACATATACAGACACACACAGACATAGACAAACATGTATAAACACACATACACATATACACTTGTATGTGTTTCTGTCTTATATGGGTTCAGTAACTTCTGAAAGTAAGTTAACTGAAAAATTTGTGGGTATTTTGTTGTTTTGTTTTTGGAGAGTTTGTTATGCAGCTCTGGATGTCCTAGGAAAATGAACATTTAAAGTTAGAGAGAGGCAATCGCAAAGCAGCTGGCTGGGTGAGACTTTATATTTCCTACGTCATTAAGAAGAATGAGTTATCAAGGGATTCCTCCCTTCTAGTCTCTTCTATTCTTGGGAGTATTCTCAGTTTTTCTTAATAAATCTATGTTCCAGCTTTGATTGAAAAAAGTCATATCATGTATTAAAATTGAAGCTTTCATTTTATACACTATACTTTCAAATTTTTTGAACTTTTCATAATTTGTTTAACATAAGGATTTACAAGAGAATTGGAACATAAATAAAACACAGTCTACTATTCTGTAAGAGTGATATTACATGCTTTTTTAATAATTTGAAGGAGTTATTTAAAGAATTCTTTTAGGTGGTAAGAAAACATAAACATCAAAATTACATAGTATTTGCCAATTATACTGCTTATATAACTGCCAGCATTTTTGACTGACATATTTTACCCACACAATAAACATTTTTCAAGATCTAAAAGCCGCTTATTAAGTGCCAACAGCTTTCAGTTACATGTATCCTACTTCTGTATGCAAAAGACAGCGTGTGCAAGTACCTTATGACTCATGGCCATGTGCTTCCCATACTGAAACGCCATGTCCTGGACCTCAGCGCCATGCTTGGCTAGTTCCATTGCAGCCTGGCAGCTCTTCGCTAGCAAGGCACAATGGGACAGAAAAGTCTGCTCCTTCCAGGTCGGCATTCCAATGTCATTCGTTATACAACTTTCCTGAAAATGTAAAAGGGCCAAGATGAAAAGGGTTTAGGATTAATTTAACTGTGTTTCTGAAGAATAAAAGCATTCACAATGGTGGGGTCTGGTGGTATACAGCTGCAATCCCAGTAACAGAGAGTCTGAGGCCGGAGGACTGTAAACTCCAGGCTAGCTAGGGCTACCCTGTCTTAAAAAAGAAAAATAAAGTAAGGAACAATTCAAAACAGTCCCACTTCTGCACCAAGACAGAACTGAGCCTGGGCTCCAACTACAAAGAGCAGTGACCGCGGTAACTGTTTCATTAGGGGCAATTAAAGCACTTTTTAAAATTTAAGCTCAAGAACGTCTATAAAATACACTCCATCGGATAAGACAGACATGTAGAAACAGAGCTCTAAAGTGACTTCTGCTCATACGCATCATCAGTTCTTGAATGTTACCAGGTGTTCTGAAACATGAGGATCCTGCATTTAACTCGTGTGAAAATAGTAAGGGCAAAATGGAGACAGTGTGCACTGGAAAAACTAAGATTACTACAAACAAGAAGGTGCTTGAACATAATAGCAGAGGTCAAAATTAATAGTTAACATAAGAAACCATATCTAAAACTAATCAGAAACTGTATAGAGAAGGTCTTTTATTTTACAATATACACACATATACTTAAAAACCAAACAGAGCTGGGCATGTTGTTACACACCTGTGGAGGCAGAAGGGTCAAGAGTTCAAGGCCAGCCTGGATCCACCACATGACACTATTTAAGAAACCAAACCCAAGCAACACAACAAATTAAAAGCTATGAATATATTTGAGAAGCACAAAACTGAAGTTCTGCTGTAGGGATGAAGGTGAGCGAGTAGATACAAGGATGCAGCATGTTAAGAGAGTGGGGCCGACCCAGGACACTAGCCTAGGAAAGTTCACAGCACCATCCCATCCCCAAAACAGGCAAGTGGATTCTAAACATCGCAATGGAGGAGAAACATGCATGCTCTATTCCCTGGACAGTGCCGTGTAACTGGCGGCTGATGCTCAGCTGTGAACCACACAAACCTCTCCTCTCAAAAGAAAGGGAAGGCAGAGTGGAGGAAGGAAAGGTGTCACAGTTACTGTTCTGTTGCTGTGAAGAGACTGCATGACCAGGGCAACTCTTATTGGGAGCTTGCTAACAGTTGCCTTTGAAATCTCAAAGCTCACCCACAGCAACACACATCTCCTCTAGTGGTTTGAATAGGTACGGTCCCCATAGACCTGTGTTTGAAAGCTTGGTCCATAGGAAGTGGTTCTACTAGGAGGTGTGGCTTTATTGGAGTAAGTGTGGCTTTGCTGGAGGAAGTGTGTCACTGTGGGGGTGGGCTCTGAGATCTCTCATGCTCAAGCTTCGCCTAATGTAGAACACAGCTCCCTTCTGCTGCCTTCAAATCAAGATGGAGAACTCTCCGTTCCTTCTCTAGCACCAAGTCCGCCTGAACAGTGCCAGGCTTCCCACCACAATGATAATGGACGAAAGCTTTGAAAATGTAAGCCAGCCCCAGTTAAATGTTTTCCTTTGTAAGAGTTGCTATGGTCATGGTGTCTCTTCACAGCAATAGAACCCTAAGACAACTAATCCTTAAACAGTTCCATTCCCTGGTGACTAAGCATTTAAATATATGAGCCTATGAGGGCTATTCTTATTCAAACCACCACAAGCAGGAATAAAAGAAGGAAGGAGGGAAGAAAGGAGAAGAGCAAAAGCAATCTTGAACAAAGAAGGCCACGTACTATTATGTGAGTGAGTATGGAGTGGAGTAGGGCAAACAAACACTGGATTTCACCTAGCCCCACCTGAGAATAGAGCTACCAAAGTCAGTAATTAAAAAAAAAGTGGGGCTGAAGAGATTGCTTCAGAGGTTAAAAGTGCTTGCTGCTCTTGCAGAAGAGCTGACTTCAGTCTCTAGCACCCACACTGAGAGGGCTCTAAACAACTTTAGCTCCAAGGGATTCAAATCTTTGTACTCACATGTATCTGTACATACACTCACAAATGAAAATAAAATAAAAATATGTTTTGTATAGACAGACAGTGGAACAAAGTATAGACTCAAGAAAACCAAAGTCAAGTTGGACTTTTCAGTAAATGTACTATTTACTACAGAGAACTATTTGCCAAAAGTGAAATCTGATCTGCGTTTCACCCTAGGATAAAATCCAAATGGCAAAAGCAAACCACTGCACTACCCCAAGCGAAAAGAAAGGCACCACAGGAGAAAACAGTGTTCCTCCCGCCTCACCTTTCACACATGTCCACCTTCTGACCCCTGGAACCTGTGCCTGTAGCTTACACAGCATTCACCTGGAGGACCAGATGGAGGTTAGGATTTTGAGACACAGGATTAACTGGGTAGCAACATGTAATCACAGCCCCTTGCTTCTTTGTTGAGGCAGGTAGGCCTTGAACTCCCTATATAGTGAACATGACCTTGAGCTCCTGACCCTCCTGCCTTCATCTCCCAGCGCTGGGGTTACAGCTGCCCACATTCGTGCTCTGTTTATACATCCTGGTAAGAGAGGCACCGGAATCAGGGTTGTAAAAAGATGACGCAGGAACAAGAGAGACACTGGCTCACGGGAGCTGCTGGATCTGAAGATTTCTCCGTAATCCAAACAATGAAGGTGAACAGCTAGCGGAGGCAAGTGCGTGGATTTTCCCAGAGAGGTCTCCAGAAGGAGTGCATTTCTGTCACCTTCTTGATTTTGTGGCCTCTCACACTTGGCTGGGAGAAGTGGAAACTAGATCAAAATTTTCCTATATCTATCAAAATTACTCATGTATTTGCTCCATGACTAGACATTATACATGTTGACCACATGTATGACGAGGTTCACAGTCTCATCATTTGGCTGCCACAGTGTTACTGTTTAAAAACAGAATTCACAATCACCCTGGCCTGTAGGATGTCTACATGGCTTGATTTCTCACTGCTTTTTGCTCCTTGCTTGACACTGACCTTCCCTTTAACAATCAATCTGCTTGGCTTTCCATCATTTCCTATCTCGTTTCTCTGTTTTAAACAGCTTCTCTCTGGACTCCTCATATAGTCATCTGTCTCCTTCATCAGAATATTAGCTCCACGGAAGCAAGCACAGAAGCTGTCCTCAACTGACCCACGAACATGTATCTGGGTAGAAACACAAGCACCTAAGATGGCGTGTGAGGTGCAGAATATGTATTTATCAAATCTTTTCTCTGCCTTCTGTCATTTCTCTCCTCTTTTCTATTTCCCCCTGTCCTTCCTAATTTGGTTGAAAGAAATAGTTGGAATAATTGTTCTTTAATGCCTCTCCTTTGCTCATACAGTCTACAACTCTAAAACATAACAGTCAACCTTTTCTTTTATGGTAACAAGCAATGTCTTTCGGCCTAGTTGTGGACCTGCACTTAAGTTACACAGGACAGTTAGTTATTTCTTGAATTAAATGTTACTTCTATATTTGTGGGAATTTTGAAATATTAGTCTTTTCAAAGGTATGATTTCCTTTTCCTCTCTGTCCACTAAACTAAACATCTCCAATATAAATATACTTTGAAATTATTCTCAAATATGCCACAAGTATTTTCTTTTTTTGAAAAACATTACTTAGTTGCAGTTTGATACAGTGCTTAATTCTCTCTGTACTGCCTGGGTGATTATATATGTTTCTCTGTTGGTTGGCCCTAGGTATTAGTCACTTATATATATTTTAATCATTTAGGCACCATTCAATTTTAAATAACTTTTTTGTTAAGCGAATACAACGCTATTTATCAGTTCAATTTTTTGTGCAGTTATGTGTTCATTTTAATTTTAAAAGCTAATGGGAACAACTAATATGGAACCACTGATACACGGCATGGCAGGGATGAACCTCAGAACAGGATGCTAACTGAAGAGAAATGATGCCGTAGTTAAGAGCACTTGTTGCTCTTGCAGGAGACCTTGGCTCAGTGCCCAGTGCTTTTATGGCCGCTCACAAATATCTGTAACTCCAGTCACAGAAAACCTAACGCACTCTTCTGGTCTCCATGGACCAGCTACACATATGATGCATACATGCAGGGCACACACATTAAACAGCTATTTAATATGCTATTTAAATAAGCCTTGTAAAAAATTATAACTCAAGAATCTGTGACTGTCGATTAACTTTTGGTTGTTTGTGTAACACAATAATTTATGCATTATGGGCCAGACCTCTGCAAAGCAATTTAGATAACGACTGAAAGATAGCTTGTCCACAAGATGTTCATGGTCCAGGGATAGGAAAAAAAAAAAAAAAAAAAAAACCAGAAACATACACACACAGATAGAGAGCTTTCAACATACATTAGATGTGGCTAGCATGCCAATTTTAGCATTTTTAAATTACACATTAATTTTAACTATCTATTGTTGTGTACATGTATATGTAATTGTGTACATGTGAAAGGCTAATTACAGGACCTGAAACCACCAAAGGTTTAGTTCTCTTCATTACGTATTTCTTACTGGGATTTAGGATTCTTATTATTCATCACTTTTATATTTTTAAATTATTCATGGAACACACAGTCTCTGAAAAAGATTATTCAGATAACCAGAAACAATTAATTTATGGTCCCCTGAAATCTACTGCCATCACTTAATTGGACCTTAAGTTAATAACTCTGCACCTAAGTTAATCAGAAATGTTATTCCCCAAGCATCAAGATATTACCTATTATGAAGCTGGTTATTAACGAAGAGGAACCCTTCTATTCATTTCTACCAGATTGTCACATATATACTGAGAAAACATGCTCTAGAAAAACTAATGTATAATTTTTAAAATGCCAAGAAAACTGGTATGAAAGCGATGTCTAAACCAGTTTCTCTAAATATCAGTTGTATAAAATGCGTGTGAAGTGGCTGACTGCAGTCAGAACAGGAGATTTAGACACAGCATCACAATGTGTGCGTGGTCCAAAACCATTTAAAATGTATTCTTTGAGAATTTCTCACATGCAACCCCATCT